TCCCCTACTCGACACGCCTGTCATACGTCCTTGTTTCCTCTGCTTCAATCTTCTGCCACCGAAACCCAGAACATGCTCTCGAAGGGATAAACCTCCGCTGCACACCATTGATCCATTCCCCCCCACATCCAAATTTTTCTTATAAATAAGCCTTTATATACTTAAATCTGCCAAGCCTGGCGAGAGGGGGGGGGGGGGCGGGCACCGGGGGGGTTGGAGCGGAGGGGATGGCAGGCCTACTCCGTAGGCTGTTTCTGCAGAAGCCTGGCAAGCAGCCTGGCCCCACAGGCTCCAGGGCCCCACTATTCTGCTTTTACCAGCAGCAAGGGAGCCGAATGGGCCCTCGAGTGCAAGCTTCCATTACTCGGCACCAGGCCGACAACAGAGGGCAGTAGGAACTGCTGATCTCCCCCCTCGTCCCTCCCCTCCTGGACCGTCACCAGCCCCACAACCCAGAGAGCCCGGCCCCACACGCCACACCCTCATTCCTGCCGCTCGGGGACTCGCTCACTCTCACCTCTCCGGCGACCGGCCTGCTCGGGACACAGTCCCCGGCCCTTGGGACAAACTCCTGAGAAAGCAGTGGCTGCACTACTGGCATTTCCTAGTGGCAGGCGCAGTGTGGGACTGCACTCCTGGTCTCAGTTAACCCTCCTATCACCCCACGAAGTGGGATTCTGATGCTTCCTTTGCAGACGGGAAACCAGCTTCGGGAGGTGGTGGGGCTCGTCCCCGATCACCAAGCCAGTAAGTGACAGGCGGTCTGACTCCTCAGAAGCCCCAAAACCTGGCCTGCGAGAGGCGCTGTGACCACTAGCTGATGCCATGTTTAAACGGTACCGCTTCCTGCAGGACGGGCCCAGCTCTCAGGGCTGCCAGGCGGATCCCTCCTTGTGGCCCCGTCCTCAACCCCACCCCGGCTCAGAGAAAGAGCGAGGGAAGCAAGGCCCTCCGGCTGGGCCGGCTCTGTGGGCCCACACCTCCTCCCGCTGCCTGCCGGGTCTCCTTCCCCCAAGGCCAGCCACACCTACCCTGGCTCCTACCCAGTGGTTCAGAGGGAATCCCAGGCCCCGCAGCCCAGGACAGGTCCCCTGACGTCCGAGGAAGGTCAGCTCCTGCACTCCTCCCACTCCAGGTCCTTTGGAAGGATCTGGCTTCCTGTCTCTAGCAAACCGGAACTAGAACAAGTCAGTGTGTGTCTAGGTAACAGCAGAAAAGGAACCGCGTCCAGGCCAATCCCAGTGGCCGCTCCGCAGCCCCACCTGCTGCGCCGGCTTCATGCAGAGTCCCCACTTCCTCTGGGCCCAATCCAGCAAGGGTGGGGTTTCTCCTTCATCATGGAGAAAGCCCAGAGGGCTCCCCGGAGCAGGCAACAAGTGCAACCCCGAGGGTAACAGGAGCAGCTGCTGTGCTTGAACACCCACCACGTGCCAGGAGCTTCAGCTGCGTCACCTCCGCACAATGACACTAGTTCAGGTGGTAAACTGAGGCTGAGGCAGAGGCACAACCTCACACAGCCAAAGCCAGCTGAAGGGGCCAGCTGGGATATGAACTTGGGTTTCTTGGGCCCCAAACACTCAATAGAAGACAGATGGTTAACCTTCCCTGTCAAACCACTGCCCTCTGCATCAAACACCCCTCCTTGGCACTCATGATCTGACTCTAAGTCTGGCTTACTGGTTTATGGACTGGATTCTGGTTTACGATGTCAATGGGCTCTTTCAACAGATACATCAGTTGGCCGGAAGGCGCAGTCCCCGAGTACAGAGACACAAGATCTTAGGCTCTGGAGTCGAGCCAGAGCTGAGTTCAAGCCCCAGCTGCCCTCTCCATTGTCCATGGCCACACAGCAAAACCACTTAGCCTCCCTGAGCCCCAGTGTCCTCAGCCAGCTGGGGGTGTACACGGGATAGATAGATGCCATCGTACACATGGGTAGCTGCAAACATCAGATCTTAGTGGCTTTGTGAAATTCAGAAAAAGATCTTCCTCGAAGGCGCTCAGGGTGTGATGCTAAGCACTGGCCTCTCCTAAGTCTTCCATGGGCAGAATCTGGGCAGGACATGAAAGGAAGCTAAAGCAGTAAAGTAACATTCCAAGTGAAACACTGGATGTCAGGGAGAAAGAACAGACATCGTTTTCCAAACGCCTGATGAGGGAACCCCGGCGAGGACACGCAGTCACAGCGTCTGTGGTGCACTTCCCCCTCTCCTCCCTCCGTCTCTGTTCAGGGACTAGACGGGGCTTGGTGTCGCCGCCCCCCAAACCTCCACAAACACCTCAGGGAAGAGCCAGGACTCTGAGCAGCCCTGGAGGACACGCTGGCCCCGGCGGTGGGTTCCTATGGGCACAGTGGTTAGAGGCCAAAGTTCCCTTGTAAGTTCCCTGACTCCTCCCTGCTGGAGTAAACAGAGTGGCCCGCGAGGACTGCACGGAGGCGTTCACCTGCAGGCAGTGCCCAGAGGGAAGGGTCCCCAGTTTGCAGCTACATCTACCGCCTGGCACCCACCTCTACGCACCCTGGGGGGGGCTCAGAGATCCCTCCTACTCACACCCCAAAGAAGGTGCCAGAGAAAATGGGGCTGACCGGGCAAAGAAGCAGGAACGGAAGCAGTCAGGGCGCGCTCGTGCAGGATCAGGCAGGCCTCCGACTTCCTCCGCTCTCCCCAGGCCTGAGACCCTCCCAACAAGGCAGCCCCGGGGCATGGGCTTCCCAGCCCCTTTCGGGGGAACCACCCTAGATCCTGAGCGCTTCTCGCCTCTCGAGCCCAGCTGAGCTCCAACGCGTGTGTGGAGGGAGAGGTTCTCTCCAAACCAGGGCCCCGAGGGGAGGGCGCGGAGTGCCAACTCTCCAGCCCAGCGAAGGCCACTCGGCTAGGCTCTGGCGACGAAGGGTGCAGACCTTCCCACTCCCCGCCAGAGGGCGCTACCGGCCCACCGGCTCCCCGCTGCCGGGAGTAACCACGGGTAACCTCGCGCGATCAGGGATTCGGGCCGGGAAGGCCCGGGAGCCCCGCCGCGGATGCACAAGGTAGATTTCAATGCCGGGAAGCCGGGCTGAGGTGGAGGAACAGGGTGCCCAGCCTCGGCCGTGCCATTTGCAGGTGCGACCCCAGAGTGACCACTCCCGGGTGCCACGCCCTCCGCAGACGGACCACGCGCAGGTGCCGGACCCATCCCGAGGCCGTGCCCGGGCCCAAGCCATGCGCAGAGCCGCCGCGGCTTCGCCAAGAGGCCACCTGGGCAGGCGGCTGGGTGCAGGGAGCTCTGAACCAGGCCGCACCCCAGCCCCAGCCACGAGCCACGGAGCGTCATCTGATCTGACCCGAGGGCCGCTGAGGACCTGCTGGGAGCGGCCGGATCTGCAGCCCCGAGGGGGTTAAGTAAGACTCAAGCGCCTGGGGCTGCTGCCCCTGGAGGGAGGGGACCCACGGGCTGGTCTGCCCGCATTCCGGGGCTAACCAGCCTAGGGGTGCAGAGCAGAGGAGGGAGCCCCAGAACCCCTCATCCTCCCAAGGTAGGGGCGCCCCCAGACTGGCTCTGGAGACTCAGGCTGACCTACTGACACATGGCACCCAGCAAGTTTCCACCTTTAACCCCAACTAGTGCATAAAACCAGTCCGGGCTCTTTCTCAAGAGCTTCTTCCTCCGACCCGGGCCCCAGCCACTCCTCAGTAGCGATAAGACTATCGAGGCCTAGAGCTGAACAGACACCAAGAGGGTGAGATAAACGCGGGGAGTGGTGGGGCGGGGAGGACTCAGCCGTTCCCTCCTCCCAGGCTCTAAGCCACTAGCTGTTGGAGCTTGCACCGGGGAGGGGGTTTCTGAGTCACACCGACCGCTTAGTGGCTGAGCTGCCCAGCCAGGCTGCTTAGCTGTTCTTGGGCCTTGGTTTTCTTGTCTGTCAGATGGGAATTCCACCCCTTAACTCAGAGGAATAAGGATTACAAGAGAAAATGGAGATACAGTGCTTGCTTAGCACCGTCCTGGAACAGAGCACACACTCAGGACTTGGGAGCTGCAAAGCAGCCCGGAGCTCCCTGCCAGAGAGGTGGTTAACCCTGGAGGGGCAAAGGCTGCTGCGCGGATCCTGGGTCAGTAGTTAGGGGCACCATTCTGGGGAAACCAAAGTCACCCTGGAGAAGCCTCCCAACAGGCCTCCAGGATGGAACAGGTGAATGTGGGGCGCCATCGGGTACCAGAGCCCACACTGCCACACCTGCCCCAGTGCTGGGCCCCTCCACACTTCTCCGCTCGGCAGCCCCAGGCAGAACTAGAAGAGACAGGGGCCATCAGGAAGACACCACCTCACAGGCTAGGAGAGGCCCACAGGACAAGACACACCAACACTCGGTCATGGGCCAGTTTAAGTCAGCGCTCAGCACCCGGGGGGGTGGGCAGTTCCTAGGAGCTGACAGCGGAGGGAAGGAGCAGCAACAGCGCCCTGAGAGCTGCCGCACAGGCAGAGGGGCTGCCAGCGCACAAGGGCCCTCCCAGCGGCCAGGGCCAGCTGTACGTCCTGCTTTTTAATACGAGACCGGACTCAGAGGCGGCATCAGCTCAGCACGTCCCTTCCCCACAGGTCCTGGAGAGGCCCAGCCTTATGGCCTACCTTGTGGGCCCCAGGAGGTTAGGGTCCCCCTGCTGAACACCTCCTGAGCTCAGGGACAGCACAGTGAGCAGGCTGGGCCTTCCGAGGGAAGGAGCTATGTAAACAGCAGGCCCAGCGCCTGCGGATGGCCTCCTCTCAGCCCCTTCCTGAAACTCTTCCAGATTAGGAAGGAGAGCAGAACAAAAGGGCAGGTCTCCCCTCCCCCACCCTGAGCACACAGCGGTGAGAGCAGAGGTAACCCAATCCGCAGCGGTGGGGTACTTTTGCTCAGTGAGTAACTCCCCAGGAATGGGGAGCTGGTATATTTATCCCGATAACTGTCCTGGGAGGGAAAGACGGATCTGTGACCGGTAGGGCCAATCCACAATTAGGCCAGATCTGCTCTCCCCCACCCAGCCCGGACCCAGGGCCTGGACACTGACTAGGAACTCAATCTGCTGGAGGGGCCTGCCCTGCCAATCTGTCTCCCCGCCAAGAATTCAGCTCTAGAGAGCAGGGGCCTTGTCTTGCTCCATGCCACATCCCCAGCAGCTGGAGTGAATGGCGGGCTGACAGGGACCGTGAGGAGAAGACGGGAAGGAGCAATGAGCTGGCAAACAGCCAGTGCGAGCCACAGCCAGGAGGTCCCGCCTGCTGGGTGCCTGTCAACAGGTCGCACCACCCTCTGGGTCCTCTTCATCTGTAAAATGGGCAGAACCCGTGTGTCCCCACGGCTGGTAGCAAGTTCTGGGGAGGAGATCATATAATTCCGGGTGACATTTACAGGGGTGGGCAACAGTAGGTTTACAGCTGTAATACAATAATTAATCAAGAATAAACTCTGTGTTTCCTATACTCACAACTATAAACCTACTTTTGCCAACCCCTGGAGACAGCACCTTTGAGCTCTTCTGAGTTTGTCTATATCCAAGACATCGCTGCCCCAGACAGAAACTGCTCTCCCCGGGGCTGAGTAAGAACCGATCAATACTGTCGTGTCATCTAATATTTAATAACCAGGCCTGGAGGGTATGAAGACTCAGCCACCACTCTCCGTGGCTGACTCATGCCTCACTCACCAGGAACTGCCATTCTACTCTCACCGCCCGGAGGAAGTGTGGGCTGGGGTGACACACCGGAAACAGGGGAAGGTGTCTTCCAATCTGCTGCCAGGAGAGGTGGGGTGGCCACGGGAGGTGCTGCCATTGCTGAGGAGCCCTTCCCGGCAGGGCTGCCGCGAGGTGGGTGTGCCAGCAAGCTGGGTTTCTTTATTGGGTGCCTGGCTCATGCCCAAGGTCACAGAGCACAAGTAACCAGAGGCTCAGAGAATAAAGGCAGAAAGGCAACGCCAGAGGTCACCCTGCGCGCCAGGCACCCACCCAGGGCCCCCACTGATCAGCTTCCCAATCTGAGGGGGTCCCAGGAGGGTCAGCAGCAGCAGGTGGAGGAGCCCCCCCACCCCACAGCATGGGAGCAGGTCCAGGCTGGCAGGAGCACAGTCTCTTTTCTGTTGTAAATAACTCATCTCTGGTCCAAGACCAGCGGGCCCCACACTCCCCCAGAGGTCCCAGAACAACCATGAACACATTTCATTGGTCAGATTTCATCTACCTCTTCAGGTCACCCAGAGACTCCAGACTTTAAGGTCAAGTCTAGGGCGCATCTCCAGGCCCGTCCCACAGTTCCTTCAAAGGGTAAAGTGCGGCTTTACATACAAAAAGATGACAGCCTAGAACCCAGAAGGCTCAGATGACAGCCTAGAACCCAGAAGGCTCAGATGACAGCCTAGAACCCAGAAGGCTCAGATGACAGCCTAGAACCCAGAAGGCTCAGATGACAGCCTAGAACCCAGAAGGCTCAGATGACAGCCTAGAACCCAGAAGGCTCAGATGACAGCCTAGAACCCAGAAGGCTCAAGTGCTGGACATTCAGCTCTGGCAAACCCGTCCAGCCCAGTCCTGCGACCTGGGCCCCTCTGGGCAAGTCCGTCTGCTGCCGAGCAACAGGGGCTCCTTGGCCTCTCACCCCGCTCATCACCAGCAGAGGTCGGAGGGGCTCCGAAGGGAGTCATCCTCCCTGCAGAGACTGGAAAAGAGAGTTCAGAAGTGTGTCTGTTCCAGGAATGAGCTGAAGCCTTGCACCATGTTTATCGACTTCACAGCACTCGTTACCCCTCTCAGTCAGGCTCTGACCGATGAGCACAGCCCAAGGTGCTTCCCGGTCTCAGGCAGCCCGTCCCTGCCTTGGCTCTGTCTTGCCTGCCTCTCCCGGTTCGCCTATAGAACCTAACAGCCGCCACATTTCACTGGTCACCAAGTCGCATCAGTTCTTCCTCCATCGGGCTTCTCCCCATTACTTTCCTCCCTTTCTTTTCGTAACAGACAGGCGACCGCTTGGACCTGCATCAGAACCCACACTCGGATCCTGTAAGCAGACACCAGCAGTTTGAACGTCTTGGAAGCCCATCTGTTTTGCGTGGATCCACACATCACTCTCGCCTCTCCCTCTGGGCTGCAGGCCCTCTGTGGACAGGGACCCGGCCCCTCGCTGGATCCCCAGCACTAACACCTTGGAGACCGCGTTACTCAGACACCTCACAGAGCACACAACGAGCAATCGATGAAAAAGTGTTCGCAAGCCACCGTGAAGGCTGGGAGACGCCTGTGCCCTCCCACTGTGACACGGGAGCCTCTGGGTAAATAATTCCCGGCGCTGATGGCGCTGACGTTCCTCTCCTGTAAGGACAGGAGCAGGAGGAAGTGGAGCCAGGGACAGAGGCCAAAACTCTTGGGAGCTGTGACAGGCCTGTCACTAACTCGGGCCTCCTTGCTGAGCACACCCCTGGCCTCGCCCCTCCTGCCTCGGGTTCATGCCAAGTCCTTCTCAGAGAACATCACTGAGTCCAGAGGCCTCCAACTCCAGCAAGGACAGAGGCAGGAGAGAGAATGTCAGCTCCAGTGTCCCCCCCCCCCTCACCCCAGCACTCCTGCCCTTACCCCACACCCTCACCCCTCACCCCAGTGCCCCAGCCCTCACCACAGCGCTCCTGCCCTCACCACAGCGCCCCAGCCCTCACCACAGCGCTCATGCCTGTCACCACTGCCTGAGAGCCCTGTGGCTTTGAACCTGGAATGAGAACAATAGGAGGAGCTGCCCAAGCTCCAGGAAGGCTCTCAGCCTCTGCGGCTGCCGCCGCCCGTGGAGCAAGCCCAGGAGGAAGCAGCCTCTGCTCCTGCCACGGAGGCTCGGCCCAGCAGCGCTACAAAGGGAGCCAGAGCCAGGGCTGCAGCACAGAGAGCTCAGACCAGGGACGGGGAGAGGAGGGAAGTCATCCTTCCGAGCATCTACAGGACAGGACCCTGGTGGCACCCCCATTTTACAGAGAAGAACGAGGCTCACGGATGCCCGATGAGTGCGCTCTGCAGGCAGGCGGAGTCCGCACAGGACCGCTCTGCCTGGCTGAGCCCATCCGCTCCTTCCATGACACCCCACAGGGAGGCTGTCAGCCATCCTCATTCTGCCTGCCACCACTCTCCAGCTTTCAAAGCACCCATCCCCGGAGTCCCTAGAGCAATCCAAAAAGCCTGGCCACTGGGTGCCTTCCCACCACTGCCCGGAGCCCTTGGTCTCATCTCCCTCCTCTCTTCTTCACCCTCGGCCTGAGGCAAGGTCCTGACCGCTCGGAGCCCCTGCTGGTGGCACCGGAGCTCCCTGTTCTGGGCTAACTCGCTGATGTACAGGTCGATTTGCAGGAGTGCTTCCTTCCTGTGCCCTATGGCCAGCGGCCTCATCTGAGCAGCATGATGCAAGGTGGGGCTGCCCCAGACACTGACCTTCACCCCCTCTTACTGCCAGGCAGCTTTCTTATGTGGACGGGGCAGGGGCCTGGGCATGGAGAGACCAGTGGCTCCTTGGCCCTCAGAAACGGGCAGAGGCGACAGGTGGTCAGGGCTCCTCTGAAAGCACCAAGCAGCCACCTGCGGGCGGGACAGAGCCTCGAGCCTGAGGAGCAGTCGGCCGTGAGGCATCACCGCCCGTCCTTGGCCAAAGTCATAAAGTATTGGCAGCTGCAACTCGTTTGCTTTTCATTTTAGAAAATGGACTGAAGCAAGTTCAAGAGTAGCCAGGCCCACCGGCCCAGCCACAAGGGCTCCCCTGTGCTTCCTCGTGTGAGAGAAGGAGCGCGAGTGAACAGGCCCAGGTGTGCCAGGAAGAGGGATGGCGGCAGACGAGCCTTATCCGCCACGAGGCCATCGGGAGGGTATGTCACTGTGGGTCACAAGTTGGACAGTCAGGAGCTCTGAGAAGGAAAGGCAGGCGGGAGGCCAGAGCCAGAGCCAGCTGCCCTCTCCCCCCACAGCTGACCCTCAGTGACACTTTCGCTTCCCTAGACACATCTACACCACCAGCCCCGGGCTTCTCGGCCCCACAAGTTCTGGAAACCACCTGCTCAGCTCTGGGTAAGACGAAGTTCTCCTGGGGCCACGACTGACTCAGCACCTCCTGAGAAAGGGGTGGTCCAAGAGGGGCTGGTCATATGCACGGGAGCCCCAAGCCTTCTCCCAGGCCCTCCCGAGCTCCCCTCATTCCCCACGCCACCCACGCTGCAGGCTCGTCCCCAGGCCGCAGGCTGACTGACCGAGGCCCTGGTGGGATGGTATCACTGATCTACAAAGGAGGGTGCCTATAGCCACTGTCCTGATGACACAAATTTCTCTCGAAGCCCAGACCTTGCCAACTCTCCCCATGGGAAACCGGCCTCTTGCTGGCAGGGAGGGAGCAGATGGAGGCCGCAGTCCTCATGGCCTTGGCTAACCAGAATCACACGAGGAAACCACAAAAGAAAAAAAGGAGGAAAGACGGACTTTCCTGAAACAAAAAGGATCCAGAGAGACCCGGGCTGCCAGTCGGTCTCGCCAGCAGGGCTCACATGGAGGGCATCGCAGTGCAGGAGGACACGGTGGGCACAGAACAAAAGACCCTGTAGTCTCCCTACAAGAAGCCCACCAAGCCCAGAGCTGAGGCAGAGCCAAGCAGGTGGCCAGCCTCACGGGAGAACCTCGCCAGCACCCTGTGCCCTGGGGCTCCCGCGGCAGAGGGTCCCCAGGCTCCAGGCGCGGCTGGCCTCCCTCCACCACGGCCGGGTGGTTACACCAGGAGACGGAGGGGCGGGGGAGGGGCCCACCTCAGTCCTGATTTGGATTTTCCTGGAGGAGACACTGGAGCTCGGAATTCACCCGAGCAGAGCCAGGGCAGATGGCAAGAGCAGGTCCCGGCCTGACGCCAAAAATGTCACAGGGAGTCCCCAGTGCACACACACAGAATACCCCCAAATCGGTTAGGACGGTAGGTTTTGAACAGTGGGGACTCCCTTCTAACAGAAGCAATGCTCAGAGGGGGTCCGGGTGACTTCCCCTGGCCCCTGGGTTCTGCAGCGCCTGCATGGAATGCCTTCTCGCTCTGAGGGGCCGAGGAGGGCCACGGGGGCAGGCGCAGGCCAGCAAAAGTCAGGAGCATGGCTCGAGCCGGTTTGGCTCAGTGGATGGAGCATCAGCCTGCGGACTAAAGGGTCCCAGGTTCGATTCTGGCCAAGGGCACATGCCCAGGTTGTGGCTCAATTCCCCCATTAGGGGGCGTGCAGGAGGCAGCAATCAATGATGCTCTCTCATTGTTGATGTTTCTCTCCCTCCCTCTCCCTTCCTCTCTGAAATCAATAAAAATAAAAAAGGTCAGGAGCATGGACCCCATCCCTCTGCACTCAGTGCCTGCTCTGTGCCCGGCAACAGACAGGACCAGAAATCCTGTGTTTCTGTCCCCAAACAGCTACACGGAAATCAGGGAGCCTGTGGTTACCTCGGCAACCTCTGATCTGAACAAAACTGCCTGTTGGAGCTGCTGCCTCTCCCCCTGCCTATCTCTACACCAGACAGGAAGTGGTCACCAAAGAAGTCAGCCGGGGCCACCGGCTCCTGCCCTCTCTGACACCACTTTTCTCCTTTGTAAAAGTGGAAGTCTCTGTCCCTGTCCACCCCTCCCTGCTGTGCCCCAACTCCAATATCTTCTTCTGGGGGCACCGTCCCTTGAGAGGGGTGGCCTGCAAGCAAAGGGGGTGCCTCGGCCTCCACTGTCTTACCCCACACCTAGGCGAGGGAGGAGCTGGGATAAGAGGAGGCAGATCTCCCTGTGAACCGCGGCTGCTGGGGACACATTTCAAAACGCAGCCACCACGCTGTCCCGGCACTCTCCCCAGCGTCCAGTCCTCGGAGGGAACCCTCAGAGCCAGGGCAGCTCAGTGTGGAGTGACAGAGCAGGAGGTGCCCGCGGCCTCCAGAGGTGCCCCGGGGACCTGGTGGCAGAGCCCAGAGGGCTCAGAACCGGAAGCAGCGATGCCAGTGCCCGTTTCACCCTCCCGTCTGCCTTCACCCACCCTCCCTGTCTTTTTGGTGAAACAGGAATGGTAAATGGCTATGGGTTAGCCCAGATAAATCCTCCGAGACCTCTTTCAGCAATGAACTCTGGTTCTCCCCGAGGGAATTCCACAGGCAGCAGAACCAGGGGCGGGTGAGGGAAGCAAGAGCGAATGTGAAAGAGGTCGCCAGGCAGCGGTCACCAGCCTTGCCCTGCAGACTAAACCCCACGGCCATGTTTGGGTTAGACTTCAGAAATCCAGGGGTTTCCCAGGAGAGCTAGTGATACTGACCTGCATCCCTGCAGGGCAACCACTGGCTGAAGCATGAAATCTAGGTCCCTTTCCTTCCTGGCCCACCTCCTCCATTCACAGCAGCTGCCTGGCCTCCGCAGGTCCATGAGTTTGCAACGTAACGCGGCGTGGACTTGGTAGTTGAACTTGCTAACACTGCGCCTCTTTGAGCCCAGTTCCCTCACCCACAGAACATGTAACAACAGCCCGGACACCACAGGGACAGTGCGATTCCCAGGCCTCACTCACGCCATCTGGAGGAACAGGAAGGTAACGGGCATGAGGCAGCCTGGCATGTGCCAAGCACACATGTCATTAGTGCCCGCCTCACCAGGTGCCATCCCTGACTGCCCCCCGCCCCGAGCAGGTGTAAAAGAGCACCCAGCACAAACCCGAGCTACTGCAGAGAAAGTGCTCTGAAAGGTGGCAGGTGGCAGCCCACCTCCGCCACTCTGCCCCCAGCTCCGTTTGTTAGTGAACCAGGGCGACCACTGATCTCTCTCCCGGCTTCAAAGCCATCCCAACCTCCCAGGACTGGCCAAGCGGAAGATCCAGAGGCCCCTGTGCTCGGGGCGTGGGGAGCTCCGTACACAAGCCAGTGGGAGGAAGGGCACTGCTCATCCTGCCCGAGTCCGGTTCAAAGGCCAACCTCCCAGCCCCCAGTGCTATCGGCTCTGACCATCCAAGCTCCGAGGAAGGAGTCCAGCGAGCGGCCAGGGGAGTCCTTGCGGCACCTGCCCGTCTGAGGTCTCTAACTCCTGACTCTGCCAGAGGGCCCACCCTTTGGGGCAGCATTGACCTGGGCCACCCTGGACTTACTCCAGAGGCCCTGACTGTCAGGCATGACAAGCGCCCGTTGCATCTGGTAAACAATCCCCCTCCCTCTGCGGATCAGCTGGGCTCCCTCCCAGGGGCAAAAGGGTTCCTCACCCCGCTCCAGAGCAAGAGGCGGAGACAAAGGAACCTTACACCAGAGGCCTAACCCTGGCATCCAGGGATGGCCCACTAGGGATTGTGAGGGCCGCACAAAACGGTGCACACGTGTCCCTACAACACTGTGCTGGGGAACGGTCCACGCTGTGCACGGTCCAGGAAACTGGGAATCCGCAAAGGTGAGGCCACTGCCGGGACAGCAGCGAACAGTGGCTGCCCTGCACCTCGCAACCCACCGGTGGGAGGGGGGGGGGATGGTGAAGCAGCCTCATCTCCCCGGGACCCCAGGGGACCGAAGTTTCTGGAATGGGCCCTGCTGGGCACCGACCCCTGCAGGCAGCACACGCCTCTCCAGCACAGACAGCACAAGCAGGCGGCACCGACTCACTCGGGCATCCAAGGCCAACCTTGAAAAACAGCGCAAGCGCCGCATACCTGCCCTCCCTGCCTCCTCCGTCCTTCTGACCCTCTCTCTGGGGCTGCATCCTCTGCCAGGGGCGGCCCCAACAGTCCTGGGCACAGGCACCGTGTTGGGCATGGGGGAGACAAAGACACACCGTCTCCCCAGGAAGCACTCACCAGGGAGACGTCATAAACTGGGCAGGGGGGTGGCAAGGCGGGGCTTTCGGGGCAGAGGCCTCAGGAAGGAGCAGAGGCAGAGGGGATGGAGCTCAGGGGGCAAGTCCCAGCTTGGTGGAAGGGGAGTGAAGGACCCAGGGCCTGCTGCGGTCTGGACTTACAAGGGCAAGCCAGGGAGAGCGGCCGGCCGGCAGGACCAGGCTTGTGTGTTAGGTCACTCGGGCAGTTTGCTGGAGAGCTGGAGAGGGCGGGGCTTGGCCCGAGGAAGACCCAGCTCCCTGTGCTCCAAATGAAAGCAGGTAAAATCAACAAGACCGGGTCACCGAGTGGCTGTGGAGAGAGAGCGAGGCGTGCAGGATGCCTCCCACATTGGTTTCCTGTGAGAGGATGGAACAGGGAGGACAGGAGGGCGAGCAGGAAAGAAGTGCATGGGAGGGTCAGGTGACAAGGGCGGCCATGGGGCAGGCAGAGCCACAGGGCTGCACGAGCCAGGGCCTGCTTCCCCTCCCCCCACCCCCACCCCGTGGCCCACACATCACCGATGACTCTCCCGCGGGCCCAGAAAGCAGCAGTTGGGGAAATGATAACAGGTTGCCACTCCAGTCTGCTCTTCCTCTAAAACAAGTACTAGTAGTTCCTCCAGCGGCCTTGGGGGAGCTGTAAACTGCCTGCTGTTGGCTCCAGGAAGTCTCAGCGTCCGGGATTAGCACGGGCTCCCTCCCTCTGCCCCCTCCAGCGAGGTGCTAAAGTCCCCCATCACCCACAGCCCTCCTCCAGAAGGGGTAAGCCAGGGTCTTTCCTGGGGGCCCCCAACTCTCGTGGAAATGCCCTTCAGAACTGGCCCAGGGCCCGGCCCTGCTGGGCCCAGGAAGTTTGCACAGACGGAGCTCAACATCTGACCGGAGGATAACAGAAGCCCCAGAAGCTGGCTCCACCTCAGCCGTCACACCAAAGCCACCCCAAAAGGTCATTCCGCTGAGGAAGCCAAGGCTGCCGACGTCCTTGGCCTTGGGCTCAGGCTGGGTCTGATTGTAAATCCAATTGGGAGGTCACAGGTACAAATCTTAGCCAATGAACTTAGCACACACACACAAAAGCCTCCTCCCTCCGGCCTGTGCACATGCCGTTCCCTCTGCCTAGACCACCCTCCTGTCCTCTTACCCTTGAGACTTATCACAGCTCAGTTTCCTCTTCTGCAACATAAGGATAAAAAGATCCGCCATGCCTACCTAAAGGGAATGTGTAGATTTTATGCTAGGGGCCTCTTCTGTAAGAAAATCCCAAATCTTAGTAAGGAAATCCTTATTCACATATAAAAGATGAACGTTTAGGGCTTTTTCTAAATGTCAAGGTTCCACTTAAGATGCACAACAGTTTAGGGTACCATTTCCTCCAGGAAGCCCTCCCTGACCACATTCCCTGCACAGGGTTCAAGACCCCTCTCCTTTGAGTTCCCAAAGTACTGTGCCCTTCCTCTGAGAGCACGTATCAAACTGGTAGGAACTGTCTGCCTGAGTGCCTCCTCCCCCCCAGCCTGTGACAGCTCAGCAAGGGCGGGGATGTGGCTTTATCATCTATCGTCACCTCCTCGCACAGGGCAGTGCCTAGCATAACAGGTGCTCCGTGGACAACTACTGAGCGAATGCCTCCCCCAAGCCCATGTGCTACCGTGGCCTGCCACCACTTCAGCCCGAGCCACCTCTGTCTCCGTGGTGCTCACATGCAAAGCAAAGCACGTGGGGGACAGCAACACATGTGCACCAACAGGCCCACGCGCCCCCTAGCCTTCTAGCCCAGGAAACCCCCCTCTGCTGTGATCCAGTTACTGCACGCCTCCCCAGCCTGCAGCAACCCTAACCTAAAAAACATCACAGGAACACTCCACAAGGCGTTGTGGCCACAGCATCGCAGCCCCTTGTGGGTACTGAAGGTGGAACCTCACTGTGTGGCCTGTCTGGCTTCCTGGGGAGGGGGGGGGGGGCGCGAGTCAGCGAGGTGGGCTAGGCTCACAGGAGTGAGGCAGCTGGGAGGGGGTGGGGTCCCAGCAGAGTCAGGCCCCGGGACAGGGTGGCACTTCCACTTGGTGCTGGAGGAGGAGGCATTAGCAAGAGGAGGCGAATGGCGGGCCTCATGTCCTGCCATCTCATCCGGTCACACCTCTCCCAGGGGCAGAGGAGGCAGGAGAGGGAGCTGCAATTGTGTCACTGGAATGTGTTACCGACACCAGCCACGGCTCCGTAGCTGGGAGTGGCTGATCGCATCATTGATTACCGTGACTAGGCCCAGGATGAACCACAGCGCTCTGAGGATTAGGTGCTGAGGGAAGCTCCATGGCAGGGAAAGAAAGAGGAAGACAAGATTTTGGAAGCAACGAGAAGGGGAAAAATAATGTTTTGCCAGAAAGAGTAAATTTACGGGTGAATATAAA